TCAATCAATCAATCATTCGTTCAATCAATCAATCAATCATTCATTCGTTTGTTCAATCAATCGAGCGATCAATCGATCGATCACTCAATCGATCGATCAATGGTCGATGGCGCCCACCTGTCTCGTATCGTCCTCCATCGGGCGGCAGCGCATCATGCGGTATATGGACAACTTAAATGTCTTGTTGAGTCGGCAGTAGATGACCGGGTTGATAGCGCTGTACATGTGCGCGAATAGCAGCGCGAAGGGCAGCGCCCGCCGATAGCTCTGCGTGCGCGCGTTGTAGATATCACAGCTGAAGTCGATGACGAGCTGGAGGAGGTGGTACGGCAACCAGCAGACGACGAACAGCAGCGAGATGATGACGAGTATCTTGGCGATGCGTCGCCGCGCCTTGATCAGCCTCGCAGCGATCGCGTCCTGCTGCTCCTTATGCACGTCCTGCACCAGCCACAGCCGCAGACCCATGAGCGCGTACGTCGCCAGCACGACGAAGCCCGGCAGCAGGTAGACGGCTATGAGCACGAACAGCCCGTACGCTCGCCGCTCCTCGACGCTCGGCCACATCTCGTAGCAAAAGTCGATGGAGACGGAGAGCAACTCGTGCGTCTGTATGCGCTGCACGACGAGCAGCGGCGACGCGAGGACGACGGACGAGATCCAGATGACGGCTATGAAGCGGCCGATCAGACGCGTCGTTATGTACTTGCGCACCGTCATCGGATGCCGGATGGCGACGTAGCGGTCGAACGCCATGACGGTGAGCGTGAAGACGCTTGCACAGATCGACACACCTGCAGAACGAACAAACACAGCTGTAGAGGGTAGCGTGTAGAGGGAGGGAGCATGAGGGACGGGGAGGGGATGAGGAGGAGGAGAGGGGAAGAAGGGGAGGAGGAGGAGGGGAGGACGGTGAGCGTGAAAACGCTCGCACAGATCGACACACCTGCAGAACAAACAAACACAGCTGTAGAGCGGGGCGCAGGATGGCGGATGCGGACGGAGCGAGGGAGTGAGGGGAGGAGAAGAAGGAAGAGGAGGAGAATGAGAAGAAGATGAAGATGCTCGCACAGATCGACACACCTGCAGAACAAACAAACACAGCTGTAGAGGGTAGCATGTAGAGGGAGGGAGGAGGGAGAGAGGGGAGGAGGAAAGGAAGGAGGGTATGAAGGAGGGAAATATGGGAGAAAGAAGATAACGAGATGACGGAATGAGAAGCGGAGACCGCAGTAGGAAGGGGGAGAGCAGGAGGGGAAGATGGAGGGAAAGAGAAAGTATGGAGTAGGAGGAGAGGAGGAAAAGAAGGATGACAAGGCGGGGATGAGAGACTGGAGGAGAAGTGGGAAGGAGATGGAAAGAGGGAAGAATGAGGAGGAGAAGGAAGCAAATGAGGGGAGGGGACAGGTGAGGAGACGAGGGTAGGAGAAGGAGGAGAAGAAGCAGAGATAGAGAGAGAGGAGGGGTGCGGAAAATAGGACAGAACGGATACGAGAGCGGAGCAAAAAGAATATAGAAGGTGGAATAGTGAGCATCGATGGGAGGAGAGGATAGAGTAAGAAGAGTTTGGAAACCCCATAACCATGCCATATAATGTATGCCATGATATAAATTGTCATATTCGTGCGTCGCTGGAAACCACTTCGCTGCGGCACTGCACGCAAACGCCGCGTCATCATTTACGACTGCCGCGCCACCTGCTGTAACGTCGCACACAGAAAACGGGGGGAATTAGAAGTCTATTATTATTTTATAGTTATATTATAGTTTGTATAGTCATTATTTATAGTTTTATTATGAGTTTTATTCTCGCCCGTAGACGGCGAGAGGAGAAGTTCGCGTCAGTTAATTCCTCGTTGGGCAGAAGAATCGATTTGCTATTACAGCAGCCTCGAAAAAAAATCTTTAACACTTTTAAACTAATTTGCCGAGCGTTATCCACTAGAGGTCCAGACGACGAGTCGATAGATTAGCTTTCTAAGCAGGCGCCGTCTCGCCACGGCAGCCATTTGCACTGCACCTGCACATCTGATACTCGGCTATTCAGCGATATTGAGGTGATGTCGGGCGTGATTTAATTTTGATTCGTGAAACAACGGTAGCGTCCCGAAGGGGTCGCAAGGCGCGATGCGATGATTAAGTTACGATTAGAGTTAGCAACTTGTGGTGAAATAGGAGAGTCAGGAAACGGTTGAGAGTTGATGAACCAGATGAGCTTAGAGAGCAAGAAGAACTCGCAGAGAAAGAGAGAGAGAGAGAGAGAGAGAGAGAGAGAGAGAGAGAGAGAGAGAGAGAGAGAGAGAGAGAGAGAGAGAGAAAGAAGGGGCGAGAGAAACTTGACCTCGCAGTATCTTGCCTTCACCCGAATTTGCATTGCATCTCACTGAATATAGATAGCTACTCATTTAACAACTTGCAAGCTGACACCACCTGCGCCTCTCTCCCACTTCCTTCCCTTCCCTGCCTTCATCCCAGTACATATACACACGCACTTATACAGCTAACAAACTCGAACATTCATTCACCTAATGATTCTACCCTTAAGCAATTCTGACATCATTCATATAGAAATTATTCAGCTCGGAATGGATAAGCGTGACACATGTTATTGCGTAGCAGTTTAGCATATTAGCTTTGTTTGCTATTCATGTATACCGACGCAGCCGGAAGCCCGGAGCATTACAGAGATATACCATAAGCATAATAATAAATGAAATAAAAGGATATAATTTGTGTCAATTGTACTCCCGAATAATCATGCACTACTAATAATTCTATTATGCGCTAGGTGCAGGAACTTGTAGCGTTAAAGGAAATAAATAAGTATAGTAATATATATAATATAATACTAAAATATTGAGTCAATGATGGATGAAGGGCGACAGCGAGGGACTGTTCGCCACGCATTATAGATATGTCAGCAGAACATGATTTTGACTCAATAATTCGACTTTACTCCGTATTATCCAAGTGTAATACTGCCGAAATTCAGCCGATGCCAGCGCCGACCTGCGGTGAGTGACGTAAGCAGCAAGCGGACGCAGCATGACTCATAGCAACGCGGCGTCATCCCTGCCCGGCTCGCTCGCGCAAACGTGTGCCTCAGAGCACCTGAACTCAATTTCGACGAAATTTCCGGTTTACGCGAAGGACCGCAGCCGCAGCCTGCCGCGGACCCGCCCC